AGTGTAGATTCAATACTAAATTTATTGAACTCGTTGAATAAAACAATATTATGCTCGCAATATTGATTTTATTCAACTCGTTCAATAAATTTAGTATTTAACTACACTCATTCAATATCCTCTATAAATCTTAAAAATGATTGATATAAATATTTCACTGAAGTAATTAAATGACTGAAACCAATGAAAACAATAACGTACGCACTACATGTTTTGATATTTAGAAAGTGTTGTTGGTTTGTTTTTTAAAGTACATATCAGAGAAGGCTATTGTTCTGGTCATTTATTTTGGCATTTTGATGTTGTTTCGAATGTGTTAGAGTGATGTATAATTAGACAAGAACATCGTCCGAATCTTGCACTAGTGTTAGGTCAAAAATACTATCAAAATAGTTTAAAAATCATATCATATGTTCCATTTCCATGGCAAATACTTATATATAATTCGTGTATGGAAACTGAGCATTTGAGCGCTACAATAAGACAAACACAAATTAAACCAAAAATAGCTTGCTTTGTGGAGTATCGTCCAAATCGACCAAAAAATAACAATGATTTAAACACATATCTCTAACCCTGCTTTATATAATACCATCAGTTTGAACATATGTGTTTAATATTTAATTCAATATTCGTAAGATTAGTTCTCATAACACGGTTTTATATTGAATTTGTGTATCTAAATCCAATCAGAAATACAATATAATAACTTTGATCAACTTTTAAATTATTATTTTCCTCTACAAGACACTACTGTAAATCTTATATATAACAGATTATTTGGAACATTCTAAAGACAACTATGCAGTATTTCTTCATAAAAATCGTGGAGTTCCTCAAAAAGAAACATAAGTAAGATTTCATACATAATATATGGAGCTGAATGTTTTATAAGCAATCAGAATTGTACTGAGACTGTTTATTACTTTGAAATAATTTTGTTCTTGTTGTTGTTGTTGCTGGTGCTGAGTTTCCATTATCTGTGTGTGATGTTTTGTAATACATGAGAGATTCGTGTTGACAACACATTATGGAACTGAAATAAAATACATTTTAAAAAGACCATTACTCTTTGTAATTATAGTCTAGGGGATAATAAAGTTAGCTTAATGTAAAATAAAATTATATGTATGCTTTTGTAATAACTGCTCTCCAGTCAAAAGCACAAAATACAATACAAATACATAAATATATACAAAAAGCAAAAAAGGTTTGATACATAATAATATCCGTTTGAAAAGAAAAAGGTCATTCAACTCAATAGTAGTAAAGTGACTTTCTTTCTTTCTCTTGTTTTCTATCTCTTCTAATTTTCTCTTATTGTTTCTCCTTCAATGCGCATGTCTTAATCATTAAATTTTCTCAACATATTAGTTTAATAGACCAACCACTAAACTAAGTAAAATATCCCTTTAAAAATGAACTCATACTCGTGCTTATACCTCTAATCTAACAGTAATGTATCTTAAATTTAGTTCATGAATACTTGGCATAAACATAGTATGTATAGTAAGAAAGCAAGAACAAGTCGATATGATATGTATAGCTTAGTTTAGATATTTTTACTTTGTTACAATTTATTTGAAATTTGATAAATACTGATTACGGAGATAGTTTTCAAAAAAGCTTAACAAGCTTCTTACTCAATCCGTAAATTGTATTTTATGTACTTTATTATGTAAATATGTGGATTATAAATAAAATATTGTTTTAACTAATAGCAAATGTGTATCAGCCGCATAAATAAGTATTATGTACATAAATTCTATTTGAACTGTTAATTGAAAAGACTTTTATAACAAACACAAGGCTTTCCCGTCAGTTCTGTTATATCTAATCGAAACTGAGGATTAGTATATAACTGATAAGGTCTAGATGGACATGTATTTCTTTTAGCATTGTTTAATCTACATTAATGTCATTTTTATCTTTACTTCATATAACTATTTTATACTACATGAACCTAATATTCGATTTATACCACGAGTTATATATTATATCATTTTTAATGAAATATCTAGATCATTTCGGGAAAGGCTACAGAGGTTATCTACAAATTAATATGATAGTTGTTTTTATTTTAAAAATATAAATATGGAATTAAAAAAGTCTTTAAAAAACACAGAAAACAGCCAACAAATCATTTCGTTTAGCCGAATAAAATTAAGTCAATGTGCAGCATGGTGGCTGATGTCTTGGATTTAAGTTCACAAATGAAGCCTTAACGCTGCATCTCATTTTCGAAATCAATTAAGTAAGTTTAATTAAGTAGTTTATTTCTAGCCAAGAGCTTTTATTTAGAAAAGAATCCACGGCTTAATACATGTTAATACTGTTATACAATATCGTGTGCCAATTTGCTTATGATACTTTAAGGATCCCCGGTCAATTTGCGTATGATTTTTAAAGGACATCCACTGAAGTCAAAAAAAAAAAGTCAAAAGCCTAATAGCCTAAAAACGTTTTAACTCCTAACATAATTCAACTGCAGCACTGAGAAATACAATATAGAAATATACTCAGAGATAGATTGAATTTCAGTATTTAGTTTGTATCTTTGCCGAATTGTTATAAAAAAAACGTTCATCCTAGGTTATTTTCACAATAAGAATTATAAATACGGAAACAATATTGAGTAAGTTCTTAATCTAAAACAAATTGCTAGTATAAATCTACATCAAATAATATAAAATTCGTGAACAAGAAGATTCATCATCTCTCAGGTAAGTGAACTCGTCAAATCATTTACCACAAAACCACCTGCCAATTAAAATATCTGTTTTTAATTCAATTATTCAAATCTATTACATTTTGTATTTACGTAAGCCTAATAGTTTCGAATGATATAAAGTAAAATAAAGGAAAGCCGTTATAATGCGAATCAAGTCGTAATGGCGCGAATTAAAAGGCGTTTTGAAGCGAATAAAGCGTTTAAATAATCTATATATAGTAACAAAATCTAGGATATTTCAAGGTTACTATGACAAGAGTTAGGTCATTATGCAATTTCGGCCACCTTGCTACTCGGCATTATTTTAACATGCATTGTTAGTGCCGTTTGCAATGTGTAAATCACAATTTTTTTTTGTTAATTTCGAAATATTTTACTTTTAAATACATTTTCAAAAAACATAAACCTGGAGGCATGCTGCTTTAAAAAGGACTTATATTTGTATAAATACCTGTAGGTTTCCCAAAACTGTATGAATTGTTGTTTATGTAATATGACTGCTTCAACAATATTTGTTTATTCAATATGGCGATATTAAAATCGTTTCATACATATAGCTAAAACTTGTTTACATGAAAAACGAAACCGTAATCAACTTTTGACAAAAATAAACATACTGTATATGTCAGCAGAATCATATTGTAGTTGAAAATACAACAATGTTTTTCATAGCAGCAAAAGAAATGGTGGATAAAACTGTTCATTAAACCTCTCTGTCACTGGTTTGTCCTGCTTTGTATACTGAGAAGTCTACTTTTAATACTGGAGAGAAATTCAAGATCAGGGTGCTAAGAATAAGCATTGAATAGTTCAGACACTGATCGCATGGAAGAGTTTCTGAACTAATGCTATATATATAAACCATGTTAGACAGTTATTCTATAATTTTGATGGATCATAATAAATAAGAAACAAAACTTTAGTATACAGACACCTATATTTTAACTATTCATGACATGTACCCAGAAGATTCTGGTTTACCCAACGGCTTACAGCGGATCATACAGCATCAAATACACCCAACCCAAAAAGTTTCGGTGTACAAGAAAGCTTTTGATCTCACCAAAAAGCTTCCAAAGTTCCTAACAGCTTTTGCTACTGCAAGCAATGTCCTTTTGTACCTAACCGTTCCCAAGTTCCTTGTTAGTGTCTGTACAAAGACAGCGCCATGTGTATAATTCAACTTTGGATGAATCAAAGATTCCCAAACGTTCTAACAGTTCAAGGGTTAAATATCAACTTAACATACATACGGGATTGATGCATGCCAGCTTGTATTCAGCGTTATCAATGGTTTTTAAACGAAGAACATCTAGATAACAGCAAATATTAAATAATAACACGTTACTGGAACAGATATTTTTAATAAACTTGCTACGTAAGAAAGATATTAAATCTTCTGGGCTGTAAACAAGGATATTTTTCAACAATTCTTGTAATGTGAGCTGATTTTGTCGACAGGTGGTTTCCAATCGGTTTGTTGGAAACTGGTTTATCTGAAATACAGAAAAATTGTTCCAAATTGGCACGGAATATTCTGCTAGTTATAATAAGAAGCAATTATGAATGGAATGGAAATGCGCATTTAATAGCTATCTACATGAAAGTAGTTTGCTTAAAATAAACATTTTAAATAATTAAGAAAATGAGGTGCAACGTTTACCTGTTTTAACAAATTAACAGCGGTGTTATACGTGGAATAAATTATTTTGCTTTTAATAGTGAAAACAAAAACAAAATGAAATTATACTTTGAAATGATTGTTATCATTTCAGCTTCATATAATGCGATATAGTATTTTATATCAGGTGAATAAAAGTGGCTTAAATGTAGATTGCAATATTAAAAACATTTAAAACATATGAACCTTTCAGTTACATGTATATACCTATATGCAGGTTCGATTAAACATTTTTCATTACAGCAATGTAAATTATGTGATTAACGCTTTTAATTTTAAATATAATTGCTACACTTATTTATATACACGTATGCTTCAAACTGGAAAGTGATGATGATACACAATCCAATTCGTACATATAATTTTATTTTGTATCAACCTAACCTGTATTATATTAAAAGAAAAATTCCCCTAGTTTAATATTATAAAAAGTTATGGCCTTATCTGAACATTTAATGCGTTAACGTATTTAAGTTAAGTTTGACTTTATAAACACAAATCAGTATAAAACATAAAAAGAAGACACCCACGAACAATAAAACACATCGTCAATAAAAACAGCCACAAAGCAAACAATAAGTATACTGGGGTCCTACATATTTACCGGACAATCAGTTTACCGGACAAAATTTATTCGTATCAAATAAGCGCTTTATTTTATTATCGATTCTAAAATCATCCGGTCTGGATCACACAGATGCTTTCCGTTTCCAAGTGAATCACAACAAAACCGCTGTCAGGTAAATAATATTGATTCAATTCTATATTAACTTACATGCCACTTTGTTTACTATGTTATTTCATGACCTTGTCACGTGGGGGAATGATAATATTATGCGCATGCGCAAATATTGAGGCCCGTATTGTGTTATTTTACATAGGTCATTGCATTATCGTAGCAGACGATATAGTCATAATGAACATTTTGACAAAAATAGTTGTATTCAAACGAAGTATATTTTGATTTAGTCAGTACAATTTTTCTTCTTTTTTTTTTAAACAAAGAAATGCATATTGAAAACTAGATCTATATCATGAAAAAGGGGTACGCCCGATTTTTCAAACCAAGGGAGGAAACTCTTCATGTAACAGTCACACAAATAAAAATGAGTTGTCTCCCTTTTTCAGGCTTAATGATGACCAAAAGAAAGCAGTATGACGGTGAACAGATGCAAAGGGCTATATCAGCTGTTAAACAGAAAAAAATGAAGATAAGATTAGCCGCTAAAGAATTTCAAGTTCCAAAGTCCACTCTGTCGGACAAGTTGAAGGGCAGGTACAAGGGTATGAAACCTGGCCCAAGGACGGAGCTGACTGATGAGGAGGAGAAAGCGCTTGTCCATTTTCTTCTCTATATGGCCAATCAAGGATTTCCCTTGACAAGATCAATGACAAGATGTTTTATCATTGACATCATTAAACAGTCTGGTACGCATTCATTAAAAAAATATCGTCATAAAATGAATCCCCTCTTCAGTATCTTGTAATAAATTTATTTCTAGTTGAAATAAACGTAGATAAAATTATCTTTAAAGTCCAAATTATGTAACTTAAAAATTTTATCAACATATTTTGAGTTATATGAGCCGTGTCATGACAAAACCAACATAATGGGTTTGCGACCAGCATGGATCCATACCAGCCTGCGCATCCGCGCAGTCTGATCAGGATCCATGCTGTTCGATATCAGTTTCTTTACTTGTTATATGGTTTGTAAGCGAACAGCATGGATCCTGATCAGACTGCGCGGATGCGCAGGCTGGTCTGGATCCATGCTGGTCGAAAACGCATTACGTTGGTTTTATCATGACGCGGCTCATATACTTTTTTTATACAAAAAATAACAAATCAGAAGTTGTCATATTGTTATATCTGTAAAACTTTATTTTAAGGTCGCACAACATCTTTCAACATGGAAAAGGGTCCATCTGATGGCTGGTTCCAACGTTTTATGTCGAGACACCCGGATCTTTCTTCAAGGAAGCCGGAAAATTTGGACAAAGGCCGCATGTCCATGTCAAATTATAAAGTAGTTGGAGACTACTTCGAATTTCTGGACGGAATATTGGGGAAATATGGCATTAAAAACAAGCCTAGCCAGGTACTGATATGCGCTTGTTTTGTTTGGTTGTTTGTTTGTTTCATTTTACGTCTTTTCCCAACAGTATTTCAGTCATACAGGCGGGTAGTTTCCTAACCATCGTTCCTGGAGAGTTACACCAGTACTAGATTTCCTTCCTCCGCGCTAAACTACCAAAGCATCTTCCGGGGATCAAACCCACGCCAGAGAGGTAACTGGATTAGAAGTCATCGACTCTAACCCCTAGACCACGGAGGCGGTAACAACATTATGTCTTAAATATGAAAAATAATGAAAAACACAGCATCCTTACAGTTTAATACATAAGACAACCAATAATAAGTTTTTTTTCCTAACAATTACTTTTGCATATTTGCAGATCTTCAATTGTGACGAAACCGGGTTCACCGGAAAAGAAATGCCGAGAGCAAAAGTATTCGGTCCAAAGGGAAAACATGTGTTTCGTCAGAAGATATCGTCCAGTGACCACATCACCGCACACCTGTGTGTGTCTGCAAATGGCAGATTTCTTCCTTCAATGATAATCTTCCAGGTAAATAACTAAGTTAGTAAGACGGAGATGTAAAAGATTCGTCATTCCAGTTTTCATAAAAGTATTTTAACAAAAGTAATTAGATAATTAAGTTTATGAATATCGCCGTGTTGTCATGCTACATTTATGTATTTAATTTTTATACAAAATAGGGATCTTTGCCACACAGAAAGTACAGTGATGGTGTTCCAGACACATGGTTTTTCAGCCACAGTGATAGTGGTTATATGGACAGAGAGCTGTTCCAGAAATGGTTCAGCAATGTTTTCATACCCCATTGCGGAAAAGAGAGGCCGGTTCTCCTCATCATGGACAACCACGATGCACACATAAGCATCCCGCTAATTGAGGAAGCCATTGCAAATGGTGTGGTTCTTGTGGGACTTCCAGGACATACCACTCATATACTGCAGCCACTTGATGTCAAGGTAACGAATTTACCACTTTAATTATATAAAGTAACAAATATTCCACATTAAGCCATTTGCGCGTCTAAGACCAAGATTGTCAGTACAAATATGAATAAGTTATAAATCATACATTTATAAAACTGCATCATTTCAAAAATCATTTTAACAAAAAACATGTACTATAATTGTAGATTATAGGACCATTAAAGGAAAGATATGCGGCTGTCGCTGCCAGTTTGGGACAAACCGGTTCGTCAATGGTAATTGGAAAAGCAAGGTTCCCATTGGTACTTAAGGTAAAAGAATAATATTAATAACAAATAAAAGATAAATAAGTGATACTACAATAAAAGTTGTACATTTTATTAAGTCGGACTTTTCCGATACATAATATCTTAACGTTACGATAGGTCCGGTCCGGTAGTAGAATATTGTTTAATAGTCGGTAAGCGAAGTCAAATGTATTGTTCAAATGCAATAATAATAGCCGTCGAGGTTTTGAATTGAATGCAAAATATTATGTGTCGATTGGACCGCATAAATAAATTGTAGATTATTTTTGATTTTTTAGCATGCATTAGACAAGGCTACACCTGCATCTATTTCGGATGCCTTTGCAGTGACCGGCATATGCCCTTTCAATCCTGATGCTGTTGACAAGTCACAGTTGATTGCAGCGTCATTTGAAAAAGGTTTGTGCTTAAGGTTCTAAGTTCTACATGTATATCACCAAAGATAGATATATTTCATTTATGAGCTGTTGTTTGCACTTTTAAAGATTATTATAAGTCATAATATACTCCATTGGCATTAATTGAATTTGTGTCATTTATTGTAGACAAGCAACGTACTACGGACAGTGACAAGGATGTTGTAACGACGTGTACCACGTGCGGCTCTTACGCGAGAAACCCCCTTGTTGTTCATGGTTTAATTCCCCAGGAGTTGTCTGATATATTAATGCCGCCACCAGTTAAACCACAGCCACAGAAGAAAAGTAGGCGGCTAGTAACAGAAGCAAGACTGATAAGTGGTGCAGATATGCTTCAACAACTTAAGGTAAAGTTCAAGAATTGTAAATTCAATTTACATCAATATAATTACTTTCAAAAAACAATGAATTTGTTAACGCAAAACTATTCATTCTTATCAAGCGTTTCTTTTGCGCAACGTCTCGATGTACTCTTGTACATTGCAGGAAAAAAGAAAGAGGAAATTAAGAAACGCGAGGGTATCGAAAGAAGGAAAATAGAATTGAAAGAAAAGAGAGAACTCAAAACTAAAATGGAGCAGGAAAAGAAGGCTAAAAGAGAGCAAGAGAAAGAAGAACGAGTGAAGAGAAGAGAACAGCAAGAAGAAGAGAAGAGGCAGAGAAAGATTACCAGGGAAGAACAAAAACAAAAAAGGAATAAAGAAAGAGAAGAAAAACGAAAGCAAAAGCAAAAGTCGACGGTAAAAAAACCTTATGAGCAATAATGCTTTCTTATATCGTACGGATATTATGTTTTGCGCAAATGTTTCGAGTTTTTTTTATTTGTGATTAATTCCGAAAATTATTAGTATATAATTGAAACGTAATTTGCAATTCAGAAAATGCCTTGCCACATTTTTTAGTCATATTAAGTTAGAACAAGTTTATTGAAAATGCTTTTGATGTGTTGTAGGTTAATGTAGCAGAGCATCTTGCTGCTAGCTTCTATGTCTGTGATGTATGTGGAATAAGCGGTGAAGCTGATGATGAAGAGCGGGGAATCGCGTGGTATGGCTGCGACGAAGACTGTTGTCAACGCTGGTACCATGATGACTGTTTAAGTCTTGCTGAGTTGGAATGGGTGCTTGAAAGTCTGGGAGATAGTTCCAGCTGGTATTGCAGACTTTGCAAGCCATGGCTCTACCAAGAAGAGTAAATCTGTGCTTACTGTGACAATTGTGTAACTGTTATTTTATGGTTTTTTTGTGTTTTGATAAAAAAGCAAACGCAAAGTGAAAAAAAAATTACTGAATATCAAATACGATAAATGATTTATAAAGAATTAATACGTTTATTGTGTTATTATTTAATAGCCCATACACCCCATGTACGGGCCTCACCATGGTTCGTGTCTATTTTTAGTGACAACTTGGGGTTTTCCGATATTTTAAACTTGCCTTTTATTAGTAGAAGTTCCCTTGGTGAGTATTTTTGTGATTTATTTTGATTCACGACTATAAAATGTTATTAAACTAAATGTCCGGTAAATTGAGTTGTATGTACGTTTTTTTGGCTTTTATAATGCCCCACTTTAAAGACGCTTTTAATGGTCAGAATCATAAATCTTAAGCATGAAAATATATCGAGAACATAAATTGAGAACCAAAAATTAGTTGGGTAAAATTTCATGATTTTTTATTGTTTTGAATAAAAGTTACAGCTAAAAAACCTCATATTTTGTCCGGTAATACGTAGGACCCCAGTATGTAAAAATGATAATCGGTCGAACTAACATATGATTTTTTCTAAACTTTCGATACAGTCATATAGAAATATTAGCAATGATTGCGTTACATGGACATAATGTTTTCTGGTAGCTAAGAAATATACTGAGAGTACCTGATAAGTTCGGTGTATTTTGGGGTGTTTTTCGATATTTTCATGATGTGCATGAGTAGACTTATAGGATTGCGAAGGATTCTTGCGGTCTTGTAAATTTTGACAAAATTTAAAACTCAGTAAGGTCTTGACTGTGCAATAATAAACTCTTAATTCTTATGTAAAATAAAATGTTCATATGAACATGCCATGTGATCTAAACCCAATTAAAGTATTTTAAATAGAAAAATTAATGAACCATCAAGTACATTTCATTAAAAAAATATCCTTTTCATTTTATTTCATTACGGAAAAAAAATATCCTTTACATTTTATTTTAGAATGGCCAATACAATGAAGTTATAGGTTTTCAGTTTGTTATTTTAAAATTACCAAATAAAATTCTTCTTATATTCAGTTCTTCCCTGTAAGGTTAAATTTTACAGGAAGTCAAATTTACTTTAGCCGGCTTTGGCCGAAACAGCAGTCTTTTGCAACGTTTTGTCTCATGAACTGTTTGTGGATAGAATGTGTACACATGTTTGTTTTTATTTCAGCGGAATATGGTATTTATTATGAAGAATAACTATTCGTTTTTGGGATGTTCAAATCAATCTGCTGTATTAATACAGTGTAATTTAAAAGTCAATCAATTGCAATTGGATTTAAATACACACCGGTGAATTTTGTTCTGAGAACTAGTTTGTGAGGAGTGAATTAGAAATTAAACGAAGTAATCATACCTTGGAACAGATGGGATATAAAGCAGAGTCAGGAAAATTGTGATTTTGTGAGTGTCATTTGTTAATGTACAATTTCAATTCTATATGAAAATGTAAATTCACTCTGCTTTGTATTTGTAATGAACAATATATATTGTTAACAACTGTTTGTTTGTTTGTTTGTTGATGACCCCTTGGTTTCATTTTTTTTCTTGTCGTACAAAGGTGAACTATTTGAAACGTTAAATTACCAAATTTGTCTGCATAGCTACTGCTGACTGACTGGTATGTTTTATGGGAATGTTATTTTAATTGAAGATACCAAGCCTATGAACATAATATAATTGTTTTGACATTTTACAGATGAGACACTACTAAAGTGAAATTATGCTTATGTTGTATTGTCAAATTGTGTTGAATTGACTATACATTTCAAAACATGGCCTGATATAATGATGATTGACCAGCAATTGATTAAATAAAATGTTAATCTGCCCAAGATATAACAAAATAGCCAATATTTTCATAAATTGAACGTTCGGGTATATTCCGATGGATATTGATATATTAATCTATTTGAAACTCGCCATCGTAAACTTTCTTCGAGACAAATGATTTCGTAATTAATTGTTGACTACTTTACTGATTGAAGCCATATTTATTAAGCTATACGTTTTATTCTGACAAAACTTGGTGTTTTCATATCTCATAACAGAGTAAATAACAACAATTTGACATAAACATAGTTTTATTAATGAAGCAGCTTCCATTTATAACTATTTAATAAAACAATTTAATATGCAAATAGCAAGTGTAGTTTTTCTAAATATGCAAAGATCATTGGCATTACTACTAAATGCAAAGAGGTGGTATGACACTGAAAAAATAATTCTAAAACTGAATAATGAAATGTGTTAATGTTTGAAAACTAAATGCATTTTATCTTCTAAGCAAATTAAGGAAAGTACAAGAAGATGCCAATCCGGATATGAGACACTTAAACTAAGTATATATACATGACTTTCTATATATTGACTTTCTTTCAAATATATTAGCATTTCATAACCTTATGTATGCAATCATAAAAAGTATTTCCACATATATATACATATAATACATATTAAAAATACCTGTTACTTCAGTTATTTACAAAAATGTTATTTACATTCCTATACAAAAGCTAAAGCGGCATCCTTTTCCCAATAAAATGTATTGAAATCAATGATCCTGGATATTTAGAATTTCTCCAATTCTAAAAACGACATTTTAATGATGGGCTTAGATATAACAAATACATATTTTGTTGTCCTTTTCAATATTATAAGACATTTGTTCCAATTATATTATATTATACAATAACAAATATATTTTGTTGTTCTTTTCCATGTTCTCAGACGTTTGTTCAAATTCTTTGCTAAATTGTTCTCCTTACTTTGTAGCAATATCATAATTATAAAATTATATTAAAATGCCTTAAAAGAACAAGATTGTATTCTGACAACAATATGAAAAATTATAAAGACTCATGCCGCTTAAATAATTCATAGAAATCGGTATATCCAATAAGTTTCTGCAATATTTCACTGTCTGTTACACTGAGGTTGTCTGTCGATCTATAATGATCGGATGCTGTGCTACAGATATATTTGTTTCACATTTTCGTGGGATTGGCTAATAAATCATGTTGAAATGAAAGTTTATTTGAGCTGTAGTTTAGATAACAATTCTAAGTGATCTTGTGATCTAAGTGATCTGTTGGTTACTCAATGTTCATAAATTTTAAAATCTTAAAAGCATACATCACTGAATATGCCAATTGAATGATCATATAAACTTACATCAAAGTCAAATTCAAACTTTTAGTGTAAGGTTGTTAGAAATCCCTCTTGAGATTAAATATTTCATCGACATTACATTCAAAATTTTAGAGACTTGCCATATCTAAGGAATACATGTACTAGTTTCATCGAAAACATTTAACATGAAAAATATAAATTGTGATAATCAATGTAAACTTAACTCGTTTAAAGGAATAAACATTAAGTCTTTTAACAATTTTACAATAAAATATGTTGTCTTTAATATTATTTCTTCGAAACATAATTACAGCAATATGCATTACATTTTGTTTGTATAATCGATTTTTGTACGTGCATGTACATTTTAGTATTTTTTTTTATGTTTATATACTGCACCCTGAAAACTACTTGTTTTCAATATTACCAGTCACTGTTATAAACTGTGGGAGCTAAGTCAATTACAACACAAACGAGATAGAGTAAATATTAACATCAAACTTTGCTTGGTACAGAAGGTGAAATATGAAACATTCCTATTTACAAAGCGTATGTAAATATATCTGGTTAAACCTGCCAGTTGTTTAAGCAATGTCGGGCGTGCACTTAAGATCGTGCAGTGCGGCAATATAATAACAGATAAACAGTTTCAAAAATGTTCATTCAAGATTTCATTTACGTTATCAATACCATTTTACCGTAAAACTATTTCTCTTAAGTTTTAACCTACATCGCCAAAGATGTGAATGATTGTGTATGATATAAACATGTTGCGTTTATTTATCAAAAGATCGCATTAAAATATGTATATTGTGTTGCTGCTGACGTCATGAGTTGATATCATCTATGTGTTCTTTAAAGGTACATTAAGTGTTTCATTCAATAAAAAGTAACCTCTTTGTTGTGGTCTGTAATGAATGAATTACTCTAGTGTGAAAAAAATCCCACCTGTTCTCCAGGATAGCTTGTAACCAAGAGAAACTAAATCGACTTCAGAAATCATTTATTAAATCTACATTAGCAATGTTTTATGAAACCTCCACAGCAAGATCCATAATCAACTTTCCTTATATCAGTGTAAATCAATTTCACATAGAACAAACGACTATTTGATTTATTTATATCAATACAAAGTCCATTCGTTTTAATAATACATTTGAAAGTTCATACACCTGGCCAGAAGTGATATTTACTTTTTATTTTATAATATACAGGCTGAAAACAATGTATTGCTGTCAAAGGATTTGAGACTTGTCATAAGGCCATGCCACTTGATGTTCTCAGTTTGATTCCTTCTAAAATAACACATAGCTATGTTCAATGATGTAATGAGATGTGCACATATTGCATATCTTCATAATAATATCCTAGATATAGCAACATTATAGGCGAAAATAATATCTATGCAAGGTAATTGTGTTTGATATGAACAAGTTTTTAATAAAAAATATTTTTTGCTGTAATATTTAATCCATCCCTCTTTGCTTTTCATTTTACTGATTAATATGTATTTAATTTTGTGATGAGATTCAAAATCACTAGTTACAATATAACTGTTTGCCCTAACACTGATACAAACCTGGTTCTTTGTTCAAGATATAATTTGTATGATTTTTGTTTGAGTCCTACGTTTTAACATTTTATAAATAAAAAAAACAGCCAATGTGTTGTTATTTATGTTAATGATATTTTCTATCGCAGCGCCCGATATCCACGCATAGGGTTCCTCACAGATATTTAAAAAACAATTTCTTGATCAGAGAGCAAAGGTTCATTTATAAAGTAAAAAACTACTTATCAACCTGAACTTGGGGATGATTTCTTTCTTTCAAAATTAATTTAACCATTTTTACAGATGTTAAGAAATATTTTTGGATTTATTTAAATAAAATATTAACTGTAAAACATTTGATTCGGATCACAACGGAAATACTATAAATCCGGTATTTTTCGCGATGTTTTAATTTTCGCTATTATTTGCGAATCGGTTACGTCGCGAATTCATGATAACGCATAAATTTTATAACACAACATACGTTATACAAATTTATATCAGTTACAATTTTTTTTAAATTGTGGTCAAGTTTGATAATGAATACAATCACTAATTTAAAAATATACTGCGGATTTTTTTTTTAAAAAAGTCGCGAATTTAAAATTCTGACACTGCCCTCGCGAATTCATGAAGCCGCGAAATAATTCTGGAATGGGGTTTTCGCGAAATAAAGATCACGCAAATATAAAGTGATTAAAGTATTGAAGAAGACTCATATACTTACTATGTGCACTTTCATATTTCATAGTTCTCACACATTTGA